TTCAAAAAATATGCTAAGTTAAATTTACCAATTTGCAAAAAAAAAACTTCTTTCCAAAATATCTATAGGTAGGGGGGGAATCGCTATCATTTCCCCACTTACCTTATCTTCTCCTTTCTTTAAATTCGCCCATGAATTGCATTGAATATATACTGACCATTTTGTTTCCAATAAAAATTCTTTATACTCGCAAATAGAAGATTCGTTAATTTTTCTTATATATCTTTTAACTTTTAAGTTGATTATTGAGGTTGAGTTTTATGAAAGTGAAAAAAAAAATCGGAAAGTGATCTAATAAATATGAATTTTAAAAGTGTTACAGTTTCATTTAGAACGCTTTTTGTCGTTTTTAATTTTTCTATATTTTTTATCGTAATTTCTATATTTGTAAAGTAAATCTTGCTTGTTATTTCAAAAGTAACAATGTATATATATATATATATATATATATATATATATATATATATATATATATATATATATATATATATATATATATATATATATATATATATATATATATATATATATATATATATATATATATATATATATATATATATATATATGTATATATATATATATATATATATATACATATATATATATATATATATATATATATATATATATATATATATATATATATATATATATATATATATACACATATACATCAATTGATAAAGTAACTTTTCTCATGATTACCATCAAGATGATTGCCGCAGACCACTGAAACTATAAGGTAAAAGGTGATATTCAATATAAAAAACATACATTTACAAATTGTTAGTTAATTATCGTATATAATTAATACTGATAAGAGATATAAGTTATTCTTAGTTTAGGTAGTCGTACAGGTGATGAGCATAGCAGTGGCGAATAAGGACTTCTTGGGGCCCGGGGCTATTTTTGTTATTGGAGGCCTTTTTATGGGCCAGAGCCTAAAAATGACTAAAAAAAAAAGGTCCTCTAAAATTTTTGGGGGCCCCTAAATTTGCGGGGCTCGAGGCTATAGCCCCCCTTGATCCGGCACTGGGCCATAGTGAAAGTTGATAGAGTAGAAAATATATCAGCAATAAGTGTCACTAGTATCAGTCATAGATACAACACAACCATTCATTTTAATCGGTAATGTACAACACTAGAGATCAATGTTAGTAAAATATATAAAACAAACAAAGTTGTAAAATTTAAAAAATAATTAATTTCTTTGGTGCGAATGAATAATAAAGATATAACAGTGATAGTCATTATTAGGTAAATAACTAAACTTTGTATGGGTAAGGCGATTAATATATATAGAAAATTTTTAGTTTAATTTAATTTTAACTTATTTACAGTCAATAAAATTTACAAGTTATTGATGAAGAGCGGCTCACTAGGCAGCTCTGTAATGAAAATACTTTTTTAAACAAAAACAGTCTTTAGCTTTCAAATTACAATTAAGCTGATTGCTCATGTTTATATAGTTATTTAGATTTGTTATATTAAACGCGTTTTGGTTTAAGGCGTTCCTGGGTTTGACTGCACGGTTCGTGAGGAAGTTGTTTCTTTCTGAGCAGTTTCTAACAAGTTTTGCATTAAGTTGTTTGATTAGTCTGCGAGCTCAAAAACTATACTCTGAAGAAGTTAATTTTGGCTGATGCTCAGACACCACGAAGTTAACTACGCTGATTTTGCTGTTGATTGTGCATTTTTCAATAAAATTTCTTCTTGCACCTTTTTTAGTTAGTGTTGTCAGGTTTAATATTAATAGACCCTAAGTATTGGGTAAGTGCTTTATCTTAAAGAAGTATTTTGTGGCTCGGTGTTAAACTTGCTCAATTTTGGCTATATTTTGAGCTGGATATTATAAGCTAAATATGGTCATGATGACCATATTTAGCCATAAGCTAAATGGCTGTTACTGCAAATTCTAAATGTGGACAAATGTATGAAGTATACAGTTTGGTGCCCACAAAGGTCACCTAACCTAATATGTAAATATGATTTCGATTGGGTGACCTTTGTTTGAAGTATAAATATAAGGTAGAATTATTGGTTTTTTCTCTTATTTTTATTATATTTATTATAATTACATAGCAAAATACATGCGTAGTATAAATGACTGTGTATTTTGTAACTTTTCAATAAATAGACAGATTATTTTAGAATAATAAATTGAAAAAAAAAAAAAAATTGAATAAAAGATACAAAAAGTTATATTTTTGTGATGAAATGTATATATTCATAAGAATGTTTCTGTTATTGTTGTAGTTTGTGATGAAATGTATATATTCATAAGAATGTTTCTGTTATTGTTGTAGTTTGTGATGAAATGTATATATTCATAAGAATGTTTCTGTTATTGTTGTAGTTAATCTTTTCTGTTAGTTATTCGATATTATATTGTTGTACAAATATTTAATATTCTGCCGTACTGCGGAATATAGAACATCTTTCTGCAATCCACATGAAAAGTAAAAACCTTTTGTAAATCTTTTAAGTATTTTTTTAA